AATGGGGGTTTTAAAGTAATTTTAAATTAACTAGACCAATTATTAATATTTGTTTTTAATTATGTTTTAATTTGTAGTTTTGGGATTTGCATTTTTATCTGGTTGTTAGCCGCCCTGAGTCCGCAAGGAGAAGGGCAGGATATAAATATAAACAATAAATAAATAAATAAATAACTATGTTTGTTTTGCTATTGGGATGAGGCTGCTTAACAAAGGGAAGGATGTTTTATCTGCACAAAAAGTGTTGAATTCTCAGGCTACTTTTTAGGAGGTTGTCAGCCCTTCCAATTTGGTCAATAGAAAAGAAAGACTCCCACAGTCATAGCAGTTGAAAGTATACTTTACTAAGGGCAAGTGGTCATAGAGTAGTAAAGCCAAATCTAGCATTTCTCACCCAAACCAAGCAGTTAATTTTTCCCTTGGAATCCATCTCCCTCCCCATTATCAGTTAATGATCAATCACTTTCAAATAAATTGTTTTGGTAACAGTTTCCAGCTGCACGGGCTTGAAGATGTTGCATTCCATTGGGTGACCTTGAAACAGGTTGCAGCTTCCATGGGATGGTACGAAGGCTTTCACTTTCCTTTCCTCATCTGCTCCCCTCCATTCGCCCATCCCACAGTTCTCCCTCCCCCCATTACTTATGGCAGTCTGACATCTAGCTAAGCAGGTCCAGTATAGTGGGATGGCAGGCCTGACATTCCGCCCCTACTGAAATGTGGCTAAACTGGAGGAAAGAAGAAAAAATGAAGGGAAGGGAGAGAAAGGGAGATGAAGACACAGATTTAGACAATCACCTAGGTCAATCAGGGAATTGTTCATGGAATTGTTTGATAAGGCTGGGGGTGGGGAATAAACATGTTTAGCAGCCACCCATTCAGTCTCTGAGGGAGGGAAGTCCTTCCATAGGATCAAGTACTGGAGTTTTCCCCTGTGAACACAGGAATCCAAAATTTCCCTAACTTCAAAGTTTGCTCTCCCTCAATCAAAATGGGCATAGGGAGAGCTTTGTCAGTTGGGTGCAAAGGGAATTGGACTGCTGCTTTCAACAAACTACAGTAAGGCACAGAGTGAACCTGACAAAGATATTTTGGTGGTTTTAATTCTATAGCCACTGGGTTGATGAGGTGAATGATGGAGAAGGGGCCAACGTATTTGGGGCCCAGTTTTTTGGAAGGTAGCCTGCATTGCAAGAACTTCATAGGTAGGAAGACCTTGTCTCCTACTTTGAACTCCTTTTGCAGAGCTCTCTTTTTGTCAGCATATTTCTTCTATTCCTTTGGCATGGGCTTGGCATACTACTGCTAGGGGTTCTGCAGGGGGGTCCATCCACTCAAGAAGGTGTGGCAAGAGGCATGTTGGGGGAGCTCGGAAATGGGATTGAACACCTGGCCTATGGCAACTTGAAAGGGGGTGAATCCTGTGCTGCTGTGCACTGCATTGTTATAGGCGTCCTCAGCAAATGATAGGATGTTGGACATAATTGTTACTATGTTTTAATTAAGATTATTTTCAAGTGTTTCCTGCAACTGTATATTAAGAAACTAGATATACCACGTATTATGATGGAAAACAGATTATTGCCCTCGTGCCAGCTGTGGTTAGGGCTGGAGCCTTGGGGGGAGGGAACGGAGGATTGGTGGGGGCAGGGTTCTTTTACCCTCAAATACATATTTATATATGTATGAATTCATACCCTAAATATGTTTTCAAATCATTTAAAATGCTCAGAGTTCCCAAAAGAGATTTAAAAAATCCCTGGTTTAAAATAATTCAACTATTTCTTTAATTTCAAAAAAGTGAATTTTGCAATCTGCAATTAGAATTACTGATACTAAAATTTTACTATTTCAGCTTATGTTCACACTAACCTTTTTAGCAAGTGCATAATTGATCTGGAGACTGACTTGATAGCCATCCTTATGAACAGTAGCAGAAATAAGCTAAAAAAAGACAAATAGTGATTAGCTTTGCTTTTTACTTACTTCTTCCTATCTAAAGAGAAATAGCGCTAATCATTTCTTTATCTAAATAAATGATGAGGACTATTATTGAATGTTTATCTATACAAGACAAATATGTTCCTGAGTATAGAAAATTATCTTCAATCTGTTTTGGATGCATTCATATTCCTCTGAAGAATCAGATTTGAAGTCTGGGGATATTTCTGGGAATACTATTAGTATTTCAGCATCGAACCAGGAGAGTATAGGTTTCTGTTGCTAGAAGAACAGTTGAGTGTTAGAAATCATTGGTTAGTAGAAATAGGAAACAGCTAGGCTTCATTAATATGTTCCCAAACAGACCACAGTGTTCCTTTCTACTGATAGGAGAGCAAGAACTGAAGAGGAAGCAAAAAGGCCACAATTGTAAATAAAATGTGATTATAAGAGTTTACACAGTGCCATTGGAAGGAAAGGAAAAGAAAGAGGAAGAAGAAATTAAACATGTTGGCCATAAGGCAAATTATCTTTAGTGATTTTGAGGGGTGGAAGTGGAAGGATGTCATTTCATTCATCCAGCGGCTATTAAATAATTTTCCCTGAAGTGAATAGAGGTTAATGGCAAGTTGAAACATTTTCACATTTTATGGAAAGGTTTTATTTCTTTGATACAATCCCTTCATTTCCATTCTTCAATTTCCCTCAAAGTGATGAAAGAGATGCTCACAAGGTAGGCAAGAGAAGGTTCTCATTTTGTTATACAAAAGGAGCAGTATAACTTCTTTCTATGGCAACTGCAGCAATCTCTCTTGAAACAGAGAAAGATAGAAGACAATAGCAAGAAGAGAAAAAAATGACTTTATCTTCATTTGATCTTCTTTTGAGAAAAGATGTTTAACTAGACTGGTTGATTTACATACTTAAAAGACATACAGAATGAGCACAAATACAAAAAACAACAGGAAAAAACTACTGAAGTTTAGATAGTCCTCGCTTAACAATAGCCCTATGTAGTGACTGCTTGAAGTTACGATGGTGCTGAAAAAGTTAATGTTATGACCAGTCCTTGGACTGTTGCATCATCCCTGTAGCAAATAATTGCCATTTGTGTGCTTCACATCTGACTTCTGACAAGCAGAGTCAATGGAGAAGACGATAGTAAAACCGCAAGTCATGGTCATGTGATGTTCGGTTTAATAAACTGCAATGTTCGCTTAATGGCTGCATGAGAAGTGATGTTGTACGTGTGTCACATCATATGATGTTTTTATTAGTGCCCTTTTGCTTAGCAATGGAGTAGATGGCCCCAATTGTGGTCACTCAGCAAAGATTACTTACATCTATTTTACCATGGAAAAAAGCAGATAATATTTTTCCTCGAAGGATGCTAGCAGCATCACAGCAGGAAGTCTAAGCTGTAATGGCTTCTTATATCAGGAATTTTTTACCTTTCCCATCTGAGGCTCTCCAATTAATGTCCTGAACTCCATATTATTTTGTGTATAGCTTCTAAGATGTGCACAGACATGATCTAATTGCTTCCTCCAATAGCCTGAAAATAAAAAGTGAGGAAAAAGATCACATGAAAAACATCAACAGACTTTGCATACAGAATATTTAAACAATCCTGATACGAATTTAAAAACCCACAGTTCATAAAATCATAATACAGATAGTCCTTGAATTACAATAGTCTGTTTACTGATCGTTCAAAGTTACAACGGTACTGAAAAAAGTGAGTTATGACCATTTTTCACACTTACGACTATTGCAGCTTCCCCATGGTCACATGACCAAAATGTAGACACTTGGCAACTGACTCATATATATGACAGTTACAGTGCTGAGATCATGTGATCACTTTTTGAGATCTTCTGACAAGCAAAATCAACGAGGAAGACGGATTCATTTAAAAACCGTGGCAAGAAAGGTCGTAAAATGGGCAAAACTCACTTAACAAATGTCTTAGCAACAGAAACCTTGGACCCTATTGTGGTCAGAAGTTGCAGACTCTGTGTATTAGAAGTAACTGAGTAATCATCTACTTCAATTTGCCGCTCAATGCAGGATCCATTACAGAATTCCTCCTGATAAATTTTTTACTTTATTTCCAAAGTTAAAATACAAACTTCAAAAAGAGAAACAATAACAAAGCAAAAACTAAACAAGTCAAAAATATGCATGAAAAGCAACATACACATATATTGTCCCCTGTAGTTGAATACTGATTATTTCAACAATAGTTCTCCCCCTTGCAAAACAGTCTACAATTTATAAATTTGATGTCAGAATCCAATTATATTTCATTTCTATCTACCTGCTCTGATATAAAACCAATTCTTACTCTCTCCTGGATTCTGTCATACTACTAAGGGGGAGAGGGGTAAGCATGGGACCTTTATGACTTTCACTTCCTCTATTCACTACAAAGTAACCTTTTGTTGATTCACTTTGGGTGTACTAACCATAACAATGTGGCCATCTGCCTTCCATCCTATGTCCCTCTGAACTTCTCCTCTTTGCCGGCAGTGAGGGAAAAGGGGGGGGGAATGCAACGCCTGGGATTGGGGTAAAGAGAGGATGAGTGATTGTGCCGATGGAACCGGACTGACAATATCTTTCCTGGAATTAACACCTAGAAATCTGCCGGTTTGAATCGCCCAGAAGAACTGCGGGGTGGGGGTTGCTTGGGAACACTTTAAAACATTGAATGGTGGGGGGATTCCTCAGATCCTGTCTAGCATGCCTACAGTCAATTTTTTTTAATAAAAATTCCTGTTGGAAGAGACGTTTTCCAAGAGTTCTGTTTTCTTAAGATGTAGATTGAGGTGGGTCCTTACACTTCTACAGCTCTATTTACCCAGCTAATTTGATCTACAATTTACTATATAAAAACAATGAACAGGTAAATCAAACAACAAATCTAAACTTCGATTCTCTCTGTTAATTATTATTGTATTTCACATGCAGAAAGTCCACAATGGCTTCGAATCTACCATAAACCACTGCAGTCAGACGTCGGCAGTAGCTCAGGAGTTCTTGGCTTCCATGACGGCCTTGGACTTGACCCAATTAATTCAGGCCCCCACTCACACGGATGGACACACGCTGGATCTAATTTTTGTCTCTGGCCAGTGGCAGAATGATCTGACAATAGGGGAGATAGTTGTTGAGCCCTTGTCATGGTCAGATCACTCTCTCCTAAGGTTGGANACAGACAATATATTGAAAAAAGGTTGCTTTGATGAGCAACCTCTGTAGATGTTTTACTTGAAAAAAATGAATATAACAGGTATATAAAATCATTTCCCTTTCTCAGAATTATTTAACCCATAGGTGTCCACAGGTGGCCAAGATAGAGGCAATAATGGTGTGAATGAAGTATTGCCTGGTTTAATAATAATAATAATAATAATAATAATAACAACAACAACAACAACAACAACAACAACAATAATAATAATAATAATAATAAAGTTGGAAAGGACCTTGGAGGTCATCTAGTCCAACCCCCTGCTCAGGCAGGAAACCCTACACCATTTCAGACAAATGGCTGTCCAGTCTCTTCTTAAAAACTTCCAGTGTTGGAGCATTCACTGCTTCTGGAGGCAGGTTGTTCCATTGGTTAATTGTTCTAACTGTCAGGATGTTTCTCCTTAGTTCTAGGTTGCTTCTCTTCTTGATTAGTTTCCATCCGTTGCTTCTTGTCCTGCCCTCAGGTGCTTTGGAGAATAGCTTGATTCCCTCTTCTTTGTGGCAGCCCCTGAGATATTGGAACACTGCTATCATGTCTTTCTCTCTCTCTCTCTGTCTGTGTGTGTGTGTGTGTGTGTGAGAGAGAGAGAGAGAGAGAGAGAGAAATAGTAAAAGCTGGAGCTTCAATCACATTGTTGTGACTTTTTTTTGCCACACACTATGGACCCCCCTGATTTAATCCAGGAGAAGACTTAATAAGAATATAAGCAAAGCCTTGGTGGATCAGATCAAGCAAATGTTTAATTCAGATTAATACTTGGGAATTCTGTACAGGCAAGTAAATAACTTATATACTAATTTCTTAAAGCATGTAATTTGTTGCATTCATTGTAAAACTGGTTAAGAGCATGTGCAGCTTTAAAGTGGAATATTGCATATTCTTTGAGAAAAATCCCTTGTTCTGATAGTTCACTGGCCCCCAAATGCTAGTTGTTGAGGAACATCAGAAGCTATTGCAGGGTTCAAGGAACCCTGGATACCGTATCCTTTGGTGAGTCTTCTCTACTTATATCCAATGGTTTCCAAGGAAATTGAGTAAAAGTAGAAAAGAGTTAAACTTGTAAGCTAAATAGATAGACTGAAGGATGCAGAAAACAAGATCTTTTAAAATGAATGCACACATTTTGGGAAGATAAGAAAGATTTTCCTGCAAGACAGGGTGACGCCAGGGTGTAGTCCCAGTTCTACAGGTCAGGCATTGGGAGAACTGAAAAAGGGAAGTTATGTTGGGAAGGGACAGAGAAAAGGCTAGTTCAGAAATACATGTAAGACCACAATTTTTAAGTTTGCCCACAATTGTCCATAATTTCTTCTCCATATAATTGTCATGATAATGCTGCACATTTTGGGGTGGGCAGGTGTGGTAAACTGCTGATAGCCCCACACTAGATAATTAGCCTTTTTTGGGGGTGCTCTGGAATTCGTAGAAAATAGCAGATGAAAAGTTGAGAAAAGAATAAATGACTGGAGTGTCTGAAGTGAAGCAATTTGCAATATAATATTTTACAATGGGATAATTACTTTATTAAGGTTAAATTAAAGAGCATATTTTACTGTTCAAAAGGAAGGATATAATTGCAATCAGAATTTTTCAAATTTCCACCAAAAATTGGAATACATCCCACAATGTTTTTCAGAAGGAAATCAAGCTTCACACCATAACAGACTGTGAACCTGCTTCCTTTGCTACTTCTTTCTGGATAGTTTCACCCACTTACACACACACACACACACACACACACACACACACACACACACACACGGGGGGGGGGCAAGAGAGAGAGAGTGAGAGAGAGAGCAAGAGAAAGAGCATAAGCTTAAAAAGAACAAAAGAGTAAAGATACAAAAGGCAAAATGAAAAATAGAACTTAAGTAAAAACATTGTGAAAAGGAATTTTTCTGATACATTTTTCCCTTCCATAATTTCCCCCCAACTATAACTAGTATTAATTATTTATCCTGCATTTTTAATATTTAACATTAGAGATTTTTATTTAAATCTGTTTAAATAATTTCATCTGTTGCTTGAGTAAACTCTTTACTCTTTTCTTGGAAGCTATATACAAAATGTTTCTGTCTGCCTTGCTATCTATATAAGGGAGCCATTCCTGCTTAAATTTTGTTAAACTTTTAATATGTATACAATTAGTTTTGCCATTGCTGCATATTCACTTATTTTTGTTTCTCAATCTAGTAACATTGTGGTTTCAGTTCAAATTTTATTTTTATTTTTTCTCAATATTTTGATGTATTTCCTTTCAATACTTTTAAGGCTTTGTGTTTTGCATAATTGCTGAAAGTGATTAAATATCATTTCTTTATTATGGTATTTCCAACATAGATTATATTATTTATCAAGTTTTCAATCATTGCTGGAATTACATACCATCTATAAAACATTTTATGCCAATTATTTTTCATTCTTCCAGCAATTATTCAAGGTCTTATTACAAAAAAGGAGTATAATGTAATTAATCTGTTTGCAGATTGCATGCTTATTCTTCCTAGGAATTCAAGAAGAAAGATATCTCTACTGCAATTGAAATTAAATACATTTCATGCAGCAGCAGGATTAGAAGTTAACATTGATAAATCATTTATTATGCTTCGTCACACTGTCAGTCAGATGTTCCAACCAGGGATAGGCAGATGTAGATGTTTGATGGTGTTGTTGTTGTTGTTGTTGTTGTTATTATTATTATTATTATTATTATTATTTATTAGATGTATATGCCACTATCTTCATAAAACGATAAATAGAAAAGGAATTAAAACTTTAAAACTATCGGGAAAAGAAAGGAACCAACAAGAGATGGATGGTACAGGAATGAGGTCTTCTTATCAGGATCAATTATAAAAAGGATAAATTATAAAGCTTCTTTTAACTTTAAAATCTTTTCTTTAAAATCATACCCTGAAAAAAGACCATGATATTAGAGAGCACAAGGGGGAGGGGCATAGCTGGAGAGATGTAGCAATAACATTCAGGAAAACTGAGGCCTTATAATTGGTTATGCCCCTATACAGCCATTATTGTTAATCAGAAGGCCTCCCTACCATGTTCTAAGAGTGGGCACAATATGTTGTCCCAAAAACTGCCTTATATTTTATATATCACTTTGATGGCTTATGTTAATTGATATACATTATTTAATGGCCTAAAAACATCATTAAGAATGTAGTTTGTCTTATGCTTGCCACAGTTTGCTAATTACCACGGCTGACACTGGAAGATCATTTGTCGGCCGTGACCAGGGGGGCGTTTTATCAGGTTCGCCTGATCCACCAGTTGCGCCCTTTTCTGGACCGGGACGCTTTGCGCACAGTCACTCAGGCTCTCGTCACCTCCCGCCTGGACTACTGTAATGCTCTATACATGGGGCTCCCTCTGGGGAGCATCCGGAGACTTCAACNTTTCAACAAGCGGGTCTGGCCTAGGGAGAATTTTAAATAGGGATAATTTTAATTCGAATCTTAATTAACTATACAGCGACAAATATTTGGTTTTTAATTGGTTTTATGGGGAATGGCGTTTGTGTGTTTTAATATGCTGTGAGCCGCCCTGAGTCCTATAGGGAGAAGGGCGGCATATAAGTTTAAAAATAATAATAATCTCTGATCTGTCCTGAATCAATCTTTGATTGATTCTTTTTTATTATTATATTTTATTGATTTTTTTTACAATAACAATCTTTAGAATTTGGTAAACAACGTGTTGTCTGGGTTCATAAATTTAACAACAATCAATAATATTTAATTTCTATGATTTCATAATCAACTTATTAACTAGAAATACCTTTCCTTAATCCTCTCTTCTTCCAATAATATTCTCCTTTTACCAACATTGAGCAAATATAGTTCTTAGTACTTTCAATACATACAAAGTTGAATATAAACATTTTTCTAGTATTTATGCGAATAACAATAACATCAACATGTAGCGTCTTTTCTAATCAGCTTATTTTACAGTTGTATTTGCAAAAAATCATCTTATGTGAATCACTATATGTCCTGTTTTCAGAATTCTTATGTAGGCTTAATTTCCCCTCAGTATTCAAAACATTTCTTGTCAATTATAATTTTCTCAAAATTGATTACATTTAAATATCCAAAACATTTCGTACATTTAAATCATCCCGTTATTTTTACATTTCCCATATCATAAAAAAATACTATACTACTTATAAATCACATCTCTCTTACTATAGAACCCATTCATATCCAAAATTTAACTATTCTTTTAACCATATTCAAACAAGTGTTTAGTCATATAGTACTCCATCTGGTAGGTCAAATCATCTCTTTTGAGTCTAGTTTTCGCCTTCTTCTTTTGCCAAGCAGCTTTCTGAATCAGTGTGTTCAGCTTGCCATGAGGTTCTTCCTGTATTTTTATAAGCGTTGTTAAAAATGGGAAAGACAAATTAAGTGAAGCACTTTTGAGGGGGAGTTTTGCCCATTTATATTCGTTAGGAAGCTTCCACTTTCCTTCTCCCTCAATTTCTCTTTTCATCTTTTGTCTCCCAAACTCTAGTGGTTCTCCTGACAGCTCTATAGTCCATTTTATCAAATCTTCTTTCTTATCCTTTTCCATTTCCAACATTATAGCAGAATCTTGCAGATTTTTCTTTGTCTGTGTTAAGCTGTGATTTTCTTCGTTTGTCACCTCCATCTTTAAATTACTTTCCTCTGGTTTTTGTTCTATTATCTGATTTATTTGTCATCATTTTCTAAGAATTTTTTAATTGTGAGTTTAGGTCAAGATGTGCTCATTTATATCATCAAAATTATTTCTCATCATGATTTGAGACAATTGTCATTTGAATTAGTTGCAACATAGCATGCATTTCCTCCTGGAAGATATTTGTCTTGTCTTGAAGTATTACTCCTGCAGATCTCTGATATTCCAGACTGGGGATTTTAGAAAGGAATATTGAGTGTGGTTTCCTACTACTTTTAGTTGCGTATGCACTTTCATCAAACCAACCAGTCTTAAGTTCCAAACACCTTAGTCTTATATAGTTCTTATCTTTATGAACAGTCCAAAATGTTCAACCACTTAAAAACAATCCAGTAATTTCCCCCCTAGAAGGATAGCCAAAAAGTCAAGATTTTTCTTTCTCTGCAAACGATTCTTAAATTTAAATATCACAGCTCAGTGTTTATAATCCAAGAAGGTCAGCAGTTTTTATAACAATTGTATTTCTCATTCTGTGATAGATAGCCCAGTGTATTTTCTTTCCTCTATTCCCAGCTGTTCTCTATTTAGCTGAGAGTCACTATAGATCAAAGGAACAAATTGTGCTCTGTTTCTGGGCGTCTTGCCAATTTCTGAGGCAGTGCAGCTATAGTTCTATACTCTGATCCACCATTCGATGTCAGTACCTATTTATTTTCCAACCTCCAAAACGAAAAAATTATTTTTTTATAATTTCATCAATATTCTTTCAAATGGAAAATCTTAGCAATTTCCATAGTTTTCAGTTTTATTCCGATTGTAGCTTTGCATTAATCCATTTCAATGTATTTCTGTCCCCCATAAAAGTTAATTTGCCGCTTCCATCTATGGAGGAGTGGGGTTATAATCACCTTCCTTCTCACTTTCGGAGGATTTTTTGTTTCTTGGGGATCTTTTCCAGGAAATGAGTTTCAAAATAGAGAAGATCGATATTCTCACCCAGTTCCAAACACGCTGTTCACAGTTGTTCTTAGTTGGTGCTTTTGGACTTCAGATGCCGGTAGCTTGGGCTAGTCACCAGAGTGTAGCTAGCCTTTCTCCTGTCAGGTTGGAGGGCTTTCCTTGGATCAAATGGATCGACTGCCATTTTTCCATGATCGACGGGGCCCCTCCTTCATCGCCTCTCTGGGCCGACTTTAGATCCATTTAGGATCCCCTTGCAGGGTGAAGACAGCTGTGGGATGCGGAGCCCTGCAATCCCTCAACTGCATCGCTATGATGCAAAACCGGAAGTCAATCTTTGATTGATTCTTAATAATGAAACTTTTCCTTAGAATTATAACTGGGATCTTTCCAAACAATTGCATCTCATTCCCCTAAGTCATAGATCTCTATTGTAAATATCCCTGCAGCACTTGTTCAGAGGTTTTTGTACAAGTTAAATCATAACTTCTCTTAACAGTTGTCTTCTAACTGAATATAATAATCTCCATCAGTTTTCTTAAGAATGCCCAGTTCATCACTGATCCATATTGCAATATCTAAGCTTTTAAATTCATGCCCCTTTCAGTGTAAAAATATCTGACATTTGAATAGTACCATTTATTGGCCCATTGGAATTTTACAAATTTTGAGTCCCTGTCCTAGTTTTTAATTCTCCCTTTATGTTTTCTGATTTCTTGGCCTCATTCCTTGGCTGAATAATTAGCTTTAGGCTTCATTCTACTGTATTTCTTTTTTTAAAAAAGAAAGATAATTTTGAAATTAATTTCAGTGCATATATATGCACGTACAGCGACACAATTTCTATATTTTTAGGAAAGCTTGTCCTATACTGACCAGTTTTCATTAACATATGGAGTAGCCTGCAGTTCATATTCATTCTGATCAGTCTTCTTCTTCAAGACAGAATACAGAAAGATGAAAAGTGAAATGATGGGTTGACTTTAGGTTGGCAAAAAATACCTATGGATACTTGGGAGCTAATCTGGGTGAGAAATGTGAAGTTTACACAAGCTCAAAATCTACGTGAGAATTTTTATAAAATGTTTTATAGATGGCACTTGGATCCTTCAACTATGTCTCGTATTTATGTGAATTATGAATCCAAGTGTTGGAGGTGCGGACATCCAGATGCAACTTTTTTCCATATGTGGTGGACCTGTAAGGTTATTAAGGCCTTTTGGATACAATTGTGGTGGAACTTACAGCAAATTTTTAAAAAAAGGATCATCTTTCTCCCACAGCTGTTTCTTTTAGGTATTGTGCAAGATTTAGATGCAAAAGAAATAAATTTGATGCTTTATTGTTTAACTGCTGCTCGTTTGCTGATAGCCCAAAATTGGAAGAGCCCAACTCTGCCTACAATGGAAGACTGGAGATTGAAAGTTTCGAATCTTGCTGAAATGGCAAAGATTTCGGCTTATTTGAAGAATTACTCGAATGAACAATTTTTATCAATATGGAGAAGATGGATTGTTTATATTCAAAAGAAGCACAGAGTGGTAGAATATAACTTAGGTTTTTAGATTTTCTTTTTTTATTTCGTTTATTCTTTCTATCTCTTCATGTAGATTAAGATATTTTGTGGAGTTAGAGATATTAGTATTTGTTTATTTATATATGAATATTATCCTGGGATTAGGTTTGGGAAGTCCGGGGGAGGTGGGGGATTTTACTTGTTTTTGTGTTTATCTATGTTTATGATTGTTTTTTATGATGAAAAAATAATAAAATTTCTTTGGGAAAAAAAAATATATTTTTAGGAAAGCTTGTCCTATACTGACCAGTTTTCATTAACATATGGAGTAGCCTGCAGTTCATATTCATTCTGATCAGTCTTCTTCTTCAAGACAGAATACAGAAAGATGAAAAGTGAAATGATGGGTTGACTTTAGAAGATGGATAGAAGAAACTGTTACAATTAAAAACAAAATTACAATAAAGAAAGGAAGTCAATGGCAGGCAAGAAAAAGAATGAAATCTATATAAGAAAAATATGATAATTCAAGAATCCAGGAACTGAATAGGAATAACTTGTAACCGGCCCAAAGCCACCCTGTAGAGGAGATGGGTAGCATAAAAGCTAAATAAATAAATAATAAAAAAGACATAATGCAGAAGGATGGAAAACCTTAAAGTTAACTGTTGAGTTTCATTTTAAATCAGCTTTTTTCATACCTCTTCCAGGGCTGATAGCTGTGAGCAGAGATTTGTGATTATTTGTCTTAATCTGCTTCTCCTTTTGCAAGAATGCCTCACTTTCTTTCTTCTCTAGATATTTGTGAGATGGGTAGAACAATCCAACAGTCTGAGTTCCTTGGTCTTTTTTCTCTTCGGTGTCAGGTCTTGAGATTGGCAATGAAATAATTGATTGTTGTTTGATTTGAAAGTTGATATTCTGTTAAAATAATTCAAATAATATAAGAATCCCACTAATGCATTTTCCTTAAACAAAAATTAACAAACAAAAACAAACAAGCAACAGGGATGATAAAGGGCTTGGAGGCTAAATTGTATGATGAATGGACATGTCTAGCCTATCAAAGAGTAGGATAGGCGGGGGGGGGGGGAGTGATAATTGTCTTCCAGTACTTGAATGGCTTGATGTTTTCTCTAGAGTGCCAGATGACAGGACAAGAAGTATGGGTGGAAGTTTCTGACAGTAAGAGCAATTAATTAATGGAACAGCTGGCCTTCTGATGTTGTGGGTGTTCCATTATTGGACGTTTTCAGAAATAGACTGGACAACCATTTGACTGTGGTGGTGTAACACTCCTGCCTTCAGCAGTGGGTTGAACTAGACCTCCAGTCCTATGATTTTAATTTTTTAGGAAACAAGAGCTATCTTCTTACATCTACCAGTATGATGTACTGACAGTTCACTGACAGTTTATATATAAATGTGGGGCATCCAGATGATACTAGATGGCAATAAAAACAGACATGGTGGTGTTGGGTTAGTGGCTGACACTAACAGAGTTTAAATACCCTATACGCAGGCACTGAATGATAGAATGGTGTAAATCAGGCACGTCAAACTGCCGGCCTGTGGGCTGGACACATCATGAGGAAACTGCATCCACCCCATTGCCAGCAATGGGGAAAAAGTTCCTACGGCATGCAACGTCACGTGACATCGTGAGTTTGACATGTGTGGTGTAAATGAATCTAACCTAAGAACACCAGGTTTGTTCACATTGTATTCCAAGAACTTGAGTTCTGTGAAAGCTGGAAGAGCGCTCTTATATTATTAAAATATATATTAAGCACATGATCAAATCTATAAATGGCCTTAGATAAAAAACTTCTGAGTTGAAAATGCTATAACCTTTTCTCTTTCCAGATAACACATTTCATTCTGCCTCTATTTGGAAAAAAAAGTGGATGAACCAACATAGAACTGAGATCCAACCTGAGTCGATCACCGGGATCAGAGGTTTATAGTCTTCCAAGCTTTCATGCTAGAGCCCATCCTCAGAGAACTTCTTTCTCTCACTCCATCATGAGTCCAAAAGCTTGGAAGAGTAAACCTCTCAAGATTAAAACTCTCATCCCAATGACCGACTCAGATTGAATCCTGCAACATTATTCTAGAATACATATATTTGCCTTCATTTGTGATAGAATTGAGAACATATATATTTGGTACTAAAATATCCATATATACAGTACTTTCTCTGTCTTAAACATCTTTTGAAGAGATCTATTGTTTCAAGAAATGCAAATCTTTTCTAAAATTAAAGTAAAAATATTAGAATCTTGTTGGGGAAGATTTCTAAAAATCATATTATTATTATTTACAAATAGGTCTTCCAAAATAATAACTAAGGATCTTTTAGTTGGATTTAAGATTTCCCAAACATCACTAAATCTAACAAGTAGAAAACCTGTAATCTAAATTTGTTAATTTGATTTTGATTAGTTTTATACTTATCAGATTGGGTTGGGAAAGAGTTGAGACAATGGGTGTCAGGTCGCCATCTTCAGCTTGGCGCCTTGCTAGCATCCCTGCCATCAAAGACTAGGAGGGAGGAGGGGGTCATGGGGGGGGGAACAAATGGGCAATCAACCTGTATGTGTGATGGGAAACAGGGAGGGGGGAATGACAACTTGATGAAGAGCAGGGAAGCTCGGAACCAGTTTATGTCAGCATCCAAGGCCATTCAACCTGAAAAAAAAATGTGGATTACCCCAAACATCTCAGCATTCTCAAAACACCTAAGTGGATTCTTATTGGCTGAAGATGGATTAGTCATGGGGGGAAGGCTGGGATGAAAAGAAACTTTTTGTATCTTTTGACCGTGGGAAATTTAATTCTAGCCTAACTCTACTACAACCAATATCTTTTAATAAAAGAACCTATCACTTCAACTAAACAGAATCAAGAGTCTTTCTTTCCTAAGAGATTGGATTGGGGCAGGCCTGACATTAGACTAGAACTGCAATTGTAGTCAACCCGGAGAGGAAGCTTCCTCTACCGTGGGGACCATGCACACAATGTCCACTCAAAGGTGCAATCAGGAGGAGATCAAAGCCTGTGGGGAAGGCGTCTTCAAAATCCCCTCCAAGACTGAATGGCTGGGAGATGTGTCAATCCATCAAGAACCCAATGGTCCCTTGAGGTTGGGAAGAAGGAAGATTGGTAAGAAAAACCCATGGGGGGTGAATTTTACTCATGGAAGCCGCGGCAGCCGCTGGCGAGACCAGGGAATGGAGCTGGAGGAGCTAGAGGAGGAACCAATCATGGGGGAACTGGACCAAGAGGATTGGATGATGAAGCAGGCTATAAAGTTCTTACAGGGGGCATTCGATAACCTCAAAGCAGGTGAAGCCTTGGCCTGAGCAAAGCATCCCACCACCTGGCCAACTCCAGCCACTGTGAGCAATGGTACAACCCCTTCTGCCACTGCTACTACAGTGACATCAGCTCTCACAGCAGTGGCAATTTCCCCAGCACCTGGCTCTGCTGCTCAACCTGCAATGTCTGTGGATGCAGCACTGGCGAGGTGAAGAGTCACAAGACATCAGCCCTTGGCCTGAAATTTAATGGAGACCTCAAGCAATTGGGATTCTTCCTATGCAAGTTTGGACCTAAATGCAAGAGTATGGTGCAAAAATAGCTGATGGGGCCAAGGTGCAGTGTGTGACAATGGCACTGGAGGGGACCATGGCAAAGTTGATGGTTACCTTCCACAATGATGCCTCAGAGCTGAGAAACTTCGACCACTTCATGGCAGTACTTCAGATGCATTTTGAAGACTCCCTAGCCGACAACCAGGCTAGGGACCACATAAAAACCACCAGCCAGGACCAAAGAGAAGTGGCCGAATACAGCCAGGAGTTTTGCAACCTGGCCTGCCGATTGACTGGCCACAGGACATGTTGATTGGGTGTTTTTGAGATGGGCTGAGTCATAAAGTCTACAACACCTGCATCTCCAGGAGAGCCCCCCCCCTCCATGGCTGGTATGTCCTGGTGGAGGAGGTAGAAATTGACCTGGCTTGGTCTAAATATCATCCAAGCCATGGGTGGCGAAGATCTCTCCCTGAAAAAAAAGAGGTTCCAAAGCCACCACCACATGACCAGAGCACATACTGAAAATCCATCAGCTGCTTCAAGTGCAGGAGAGAGGGGCATCAAGCTGCCAATTGCTGAGCCACATGCCTGACCCAGAAGGCACCTCCAGGATCTTCCAAAAACCTGGTGAAACCACCACAGAGAATGCTTGCTTTGTGTGGTTTTGTTATTTGATTAATTTTATTTGACTTGTAAAGACTCATGACTGATTTTAAGTTTTGGCTTCCCATGGTCCTAATTGTGTCAAGCAACTGTGATTGGCTTTACCCTGTTACATATAGTCTGTCTATTACCTTAAGCACGTCTCTTTTAATAAACAGGCAGGCTTGAGGCAATGTTTCCATTTTTTTCAATGACCAGGGGTTGCTCAAATTCATGAGTGAAACATTGTTTCTATATTTCTTCTCCTGAGCTTTATTCTTGTGATTTGGGGGGGCATAGCAAAAGGGATTGGGTGTGTGTGCATTCTTACCACAATCCCTGCTTTGTGCCAAATAAGTATGGAGAATGGGTGGGTGGCACCCATACTTATATTGGCACAAGATTTTTGTATTTGATGAGTATTTTCATCAGAGTACTGGTATATGGGGAAACAAGTTCTTAAATTGTTAATGTGAAGGAAAAAGGCTTGTTAGAGTCAGTAAAAAAGGATCCCTGCAGTGGTTCCCAAAAGGAGAGCTTTCAATCCATGGGTGAAGTGGGACCTGGGAAGGTCTGTTCCACTCTGTTTGCAGTGGTGACTTTCTAGAAGATGACCGAATCCAAACCCAATTCTCTGGCTCAAATGGATGGAGAGTCTCGTCTGGAGGCAGTATCTGGGCCAGTGTGCTCTGCTTCCAAAGGTTGTGGAGTCATCTGCGCAGGGCTGAAAGATATGAGACCAAGACCACCTCCCCCCTTTGTGAGTGACCCTCCCAGAAGAGGTGTTGTTGGTCTGACATAGGAATGGAGAACAGAGGATAAGAGATGGAGAGATGGAGTGGGGTGGATACCTTGCAGGCAGGGCTTGAATGGACATTAATACTGCAGTTGTTAATGAAACAGATAAACCAGTCACAAACAAATGGGGGCACCACAGATGAGGAAAATGAGAAGGTGGATTCTGGTAATTAGGTAAAATGAAAGAGAGCAAGAAAAGATGAAGGGTATTGCCTCTGAAACTGAACAAATGCAACATAAATTTTGTAAAGCGCATGTGAGATTTTAGGACTTGCAGTTGAGAATGCTGGGCAGGTAGAGAATGCTGAAAGTTCCAAATAATTTTATAAGCCTAATATTTTAATGTGTACAATTTGTCAGGAGCATGGAGAGTCAACCTTTAACATTTGTTTTGAAATTTTTTAAAACATCCTGACAGCATTTGGCCCAATATTATCAATACAAAATTTAGATGAAAAGACCATATTATTTTAGAGATCAAAAAAATGCTTATATGTTTCTGACTTAATTCCATAGTAATTTTACTGACTACTGATAGGATAAGAAAATTAACTTAATAAAAAGTTTATTTCCCTACACAAGCAAACTTGAGTTCATGAGGCTCCTGTGATGAACATCTCCCATGTTTTAGGAAAAGGATGGACAGATAAAACACACTTAAACATACAGTAAATGCAGGAATATTTTTTTCTCTCTAAATGAACTTAAAACATTCCCTCCTGACAACCTTGCTTGTTTTTTACTTTCTTAAAAGTACAGAGGGAAAGAAAAAGGGAACACAATTCTCTTTATCCTGTTTTGCTGGCCAGGCAAACTAGGGTGAAGGCATTTTTCTTTTGGCGGCTTATTGTAACATTTTTTCCCTAGCAGAATTTAAATTCT